CAGAAAGCTTGATAAATAGAACAGAACACTAACCATGATATACATAAACAGACTAAATGTACAGGGTAAAAGGTAGATACTATTACTGGAATTAAAAATGCTGATTATAGGAGGCATAGTTGAAAGATTATTATGCACAGTTTGAAAGTAAAGACCTAGAAACATATACTAGACAAACTCAAAGATAGTTGGTAGTATTAACAGAAGAGACTCGAAGTGAAAACTTTATTAGTAATCACAACAGTGGTAAAAAGGATAATTCACTGGGAACATATAACAATTCTGAACACTTACGAATCATAGTCTTAGTTTTTTCCTAAGGAAAAATTGACAGAAAAGGGAAAACAAATTAACAATCATGGGAGAACTTTTAATATTCTTCTCTCAGAAACTGTTCAATCAGGCTCAAAATTAGTAAGGACAGAAAATTTGAAGTAAACAGTTACAAGGTTGATCTATCAATGAGGAAGGGATACAGGTTTTTTGAGTATACATGGATATTTTTAAAGCTGACCACATACTGGGTTTTTCAACAGATTTCATTACATGTCAGGGATGTCCTAGAGATCATATTTCTGGCCTCGTTAGAAACCGCTGGACAAAAAAGATAACCCAATACTTTTGAAGATAAAAATATGGTTTTAAAGTGAGTCAGCAAAGAAATCATAATGGGAATTAGAAATATGTGATGACTTCTACATAACAACTCTGTAGAGTATGCTAAAGCTAACTTGAAGGGATCTTTATAGCCTTAAATACAAAAGAACAAAGTAAACCCAAATAACTTGAAGAAAATAGTAAAGAGCAGAAATGAACTAGAAGTCAGGGTATTGATAGTATCAACAATTTTGAAAAGATACAATTCGCAACCTCTATTAAGATTAGTTAAGGAAAAGGAAGGCAAAAAAAGCAATATTAGATAAAAAGGCATAACTAAAATGGCAGAACTTAAAAAAAATCTATATTATGACTACTATGAATAACTTTCAGTTTAAAAACTAAGATGACTTTGACAGTTTCCTAGGTGAATTTAAAATATAAGTGTTTCAAAAACAGCATATTTGGTTGTCCCAATTAACATCGAAGAAAGCAAACCAATTATTCTATTAAACATTCAAGCAAGTTGATCCCAAATTGTACAAACTATTCTAGAGAATAGGCAAAGGGGAGATATGCAATAACTTATTTAATGAGGTTAATGTAACTTTAACATGAAAACTGCCCAAGGAAAATAGAATAGTCTCACATAAACATAGATGCAAAGTGCTAAATAATAATAAATTTAGCAGTGAATATTTAAATATATCATTGCCAAGATTGTTCATCCTAGTAGAGTATAAGATTGGTTTAAATAAGAATATCTATTAATACCACTTTCCAAATAACAGGTTAAAAGAGAAAAACTGAATCATCTTCTCTAAAAGAAAAAGCATTCCTACTTCAACCATGTTAAAAAGGCATAGCAAACTGGAAATAGAAGGGAACTTTTTAACCTTATGTTGGGCAATTATCACAAAGAACATTTGCTATATACTCTAATATGAAAGGATTATAAAGTATAAGATCTAATTATAATTTTAACAAAGATAAATCTAATGATTGTTATAGAAAAAACATAAAATTTTAATTTAAACCATGAAGCAGGGAAGAATGAGTTTTGGGGAGAGGTAGGGAGATTTAATTACTGCTGTGTTGTTTTCTTATTGATTAGGAGCAAAGATAGGAGAATGAAGATTTAATGAATGTGTATTTAAAGTGTTTATCTTTTTATGTGCTTGAAATAATTAAAGTCATAAAATTATACACTAATAAAAATACATAGTTATGGAATAGGGAATTTAAACTTTTAATTGGATATTATATAATACATGGTGTTCCCAAAACCAGTAAATAGATGGCGTTAGACCATAGGCCGTATTAGGGATATATGAGGTCTGTCCAAAAAAAGTCCAGCCATTGTTAATATAACGAAAACAAATTGGGCAACATTGATATAACCTGGCAGCCAAGGAGAGTGGACTGGAATGCTCTTGCTGGAACAGTGGTGGACTTCACTGTACTAGTCACTGGGGACAGTAGACCCCATTGAGTGAGCATGAGTACAGTGTGGCTGTCACATTCAAAATGATTGAGCAAGTAGAGCAGCAAATTTGCATGAAATTTTGTGTTAAGTTTGAGCGTTTCTCCATGGAAACTATTCAGATGATTTAAAAGGCCACAGCTATGGGTAGCTGGTGGTTAGCAGCTTCATCACAACAAGGCACCCACTCATGCATCACATCTCGTACAGAGTTTTTTTGGTGAAACGTCAGATCACCCAGGTGATTCAGCATTCCCTACAGTCCAGATTTGATGCCCTGCGACTTCTGGCTTTTCCAAAAACTTAGTGGTGGGTGGAATTGAGGTTAGGGGATGCGGGGATTGAGCAGAAAGGAAAAATGACTCCTGGACATGGACAATAGTGTGGTAATTGCTGTGGAGAGAGGAGTTTAAGGGGACTAAATGGTAATGGGAAAAAATACAATAAACATTAAATAGAAAAAAATAATAAAATGAGCATAAGAGAGTCAAGCAAAAAAAAGAATAAAAAATCACTTTTGAAAGGGAAGACATTTCAGACCATCGATGAAATTCAGGAAGATATGATGGGGCAACTGGTGTTGATGGGGAGAACTGTGTGAGGTCCCAAGGTGCCTACTTTGAAGGGGGCTGAGGCATCATTGTCCTCTGTACAATGTTTCTTGTATCTTCTTCAATAAATGTTTCTTACATATTAAATGGCTGGATACCTTCTGGACAGACCTCTTACATGCTGGGTTCTTAAAAGGTCTGGTTAGGTCAGTGTGCTTCAGTCAGAGACTACCAGTACTATAGCTGTAGTTGAACAAATTTGGGTGAATTTTGCATTAATTTTATGTGTATAGTGTTAAATTAAAAAAAGACAAAATAAGTCCAGATAATTTAGAAGGAAGAAAATAATAAAGAATAAAGATGAACTAGAAGTCAGGGAAATGACTTAGCAAACCTCTGTTAAGATTAGTTAAGGAAAAGCACAAATAAGCAACATTAGAAATGAAAAGGGGTGTAACTATAAATACTTTGTAGTGAGAGAGAATGAACACCATGGAAAACAACAGACTCTCAGTGAAAGTGTGTTAGAAAGGGTTGTATATATGTCTTGGGCTTGTATTAGGTGATTTTGGAGAAGGTCCAGGGAAGTGGGGCTTTGCTCTAGATTGGGTGCTGTAAGGAAGTGGCAGCGCTGATCTTGTGATTGTGCATCTTACTCAACCTTAACCAGAAGGTGGGAGGAATGAATTGAAGCTAAAGTTAAAATTGTTAAAATAGCAGCAGTCACTCACATTAGCCAGGGATGTTTGGTCATTTTTGTGATTTGGTCAGTGTTCTTGTTTTTGTCTGAGTTTTCACATGATCCCGGAGTGGCTTTGTTTTTGTCCTAATCACAGTAACAGAGTGATTTGTTCTGGTTGGTGTTCTTTGAAATTGTTCATGTTCAGCAAGAGAATAGCACAGCCTACCTGCGAATGCCAGGCCAGCCTGTAGCAACACCAAGGCCTGTTTTACAGTACCAAACCAGTTCCTGGCTGCTTTTCTTTTTTTCAGATATTAGAGAAAAACAGTAATACCCAGTAAAGGCCAGTAATTAATTGGTATAGGTAGGAGGTGTTACTGAATTTCCTCATAACTGTATAGGGTGTGTGCAAAATACTTGTGAATTGTGTTCTAAAAGCTTATATTAGTGGTTTGATGTTTGAAATATATTTAACAGAGACTCTCCCTAAACCTTTATTTTCAAATAAATTTTCTTCTCTAATATGATAGCTTAGCAATTTGTATATATGTGTGCTGGCAATGCATAAAGCATTTTAGTTTAAATTTTGAACTCCTATCTTGAGGTTGCATTCAGAGCCTTGTGTCACTTTCTTTTTTAATTATCTTGGTGATGACAGTGTTTGTGGCTAGATGAAGGTTTTTTTTTTTTTAAGTCAGCTCAGTTATTTAGAGAAAACAAGTAATTAAATGAAGTAACATTGCCTTCCTTAAAACAACAATGATTATTGAATAATCTTGACTTTTTGTTGCTTAGATACTGCTTTTGGAAGTATAGTTGACTTGAACAATGCCATGGTTAGGGGCATTAAACCCTCATAAGGTCAAAAATCTGCATATAACTTTTGACTCCCAGAACCTTTATTAATAGCCTACTGTTGACTAGAAGCCTCACAGTTAACACAAATAGTTGATTAACAAGTTTTGTATATTTATTGTATATTGTATTTTTATAATAACATAATCTAGAAAAAATGTTAAGGAAATTATAAGAGGAAAAATATATCTACCGTATTTATTGGAGAAAATCAATGTGTAAGTGGACCTGTGTGATTCAGACTTATGTTGTTCAAGGGTCTGCTGTCACTACATTTAAGGTCAGTGGTGGTATGGATTCATGAATTCTGCATATTTTTGTTTTAATAGGTTACTTTTTAGGTCAGTTATATTAGGTAGCTATTTATTTTTTTAGGTCAAAAGTAGGCAAGAGGGATAACAGACCTATTAGTTATGTGAAAATTTATGTGTAGAATAAGGTGTTTATTGTAATATTTCAAGAATATAATGGATAAGGTGAAGTAAAATGAGCTTTTGAAGATATATAATTTCTATTAAATTATATTAAAGTTTTCTTTAGACTTTATTTTACTGTAGTTGAATTCTTCTGATAAACCTTTTTAAACACTATGGTCTAAGCCATAGATCTGGCATCAGCAAAGACTGATGAATATTTATTTTTTCCCAAAATAAATTACTTGCAATAAAGAATTCTTTCATTAAAAAGTTACTATTCAAATGACATCCATAGGTATCTTGTTTGATTTTGTTATACTTTTTAAAGATACATTTATCTTATTACTATTATCCTGTTGATAATACTTATTCAAAAACATTTCCTAATTTTAAGCAAATTAATTCTTTTATTCCAGTTAATGGCCAGCCAAGACCCCTTGAATCAAGTCAGGTGAAATATCTCCGTCGAGAACTCATAGAACTTCGAAATAAAGTGAATCGCTTGTTGGATAGCTTGGAACCACCTGGCGAACCTGGACCTTCCACCAGTATTCCTGAAAATGGTAGACTGTGAATCCATGTTTTTCTGATCGTTTTTTGCAGATTTTTATTAACCTCTTCAGTAGGAAGGGGATGGCACTCTCATTGTCATTTGTGCTGGCATTCGTGTGTGTGTTCCCAAACCTGGCGTTCATCAGGGTTCCCTGGAGATTTTGTTACACCAGTTTCTAGATCTCATCTTAGACCTCCTGGAGGGCAGGGCCCAGGAATCCCATTTTTAAAATGCTCTCTGGGTGACTGTTTTACAACTAGCCTTAGATTCCTGTGTCTGTTGACATAGTTAATTAACGAACCTTAAGAATTGAAATTTTATTTCAATTGGTATATGACGTAGTTTCAAGAAAAAAAAATCCAGATTAGTATATTCAAATGGTATATTAGAAAGATTATCTTAAACCATTTTTAATGACTGTAATATGCAAAGGAAAAATTTTCCACTTTATAGATAACATGTATTATTTATATTAAGATGAAGCAAGATTTATCAGTAAATTTGGAACTGGCATAATTTTGAGACCAAATATAGTTTAAAAGTAAAGTGAGATTTAAGTATGTATTATGAATTAAAAGTATATTTTAAAAAAATCTGCTTTTCTCAACTTTTAATATTTTTGGATGTTGCACTTTAATAAACTTTTTAGAATAATTTTTGTGTTTGCTTATAAGTTTTACATGCTTAAAACTGTTACTGAATCTGATGATATCATATGAGAGGCTGAATAGAAAATGATTTTGTGGAGAAGTGGCATTGTGTAATCCCTTGCAACATTTAGGCTCTGAGATAGTTATTATTTGACCCCATTTAAATTTTGGAATTAGTTTCCTTTCTTTAATTTAGTTGTATTCTAAATAAAGATGCATTGTTCATAGTTTCCCTTTTCTTCTTGTTTTCCAGCCATGTGGATATTGGTAGTGCTCAGTAAATATTTGGTGATTGATTAATAATTCCTAGTTCCACCTCTGTATTTCAGAACATATTGGAGATTTGTTGAACTACTATAATGAGATTCTCCTGGCCTCTTTATGATGAAACTTTTTATATTTTAGGTCAGAGCAAATTGCCTTTTTTGAACCTTGGCTGTCCAAACAGAAAGCCCCAAATTAGGTCAAGGATCTGAAGAAAACTTTTGACCATTTTCCCAGACAAATTCATAGATGCTGACACAACAATATTGCATATAATTTCATGGGGTATAAACATCTGTAGAATAATTTGAAACTTAGATAAAAATTCTCCAAGTATAGTCAGTACTATACAGAAATGACCTACAGTAGCCTACAGTCTGCTCCAAGAAATAGAATGATAAGTTTTTTTGGTTTTAATGAAGTATCCTTTGCATTCTCATTTATTTCTTGTCACTAGATTGACTACTTTATCAGTTTTTTATTTTCATGTTTACTTCTTACCGAGGTGCTTTATTTTTAGAGATGGTTGTAATTTATTTTTTGTTCCCTCCCCTGTACTTAGTAAGATCAGTTACCTCTTGACCACCTTCCTTGCATGAAATTTGTAAGCTTGTAAGCTCTTAAAACATACTCTGACTTAATAATCTCAAGAAAAATAGCATAAAATAAGCCAAAGAAGCTACATCAGAAAAGTCTGGATCACAAAATTGTCAGTCATCTGTCATCATCTTTTAGAGCCCTGTGGCTTGCTCCAAACCAGAAATGTGCAGCTGTCTCTATTTTTCAGTGTTCTACATCTGTGGTGCTTCTTGGACACCTATTTCCTCTGTGAGGAAGATAATGTGTAGGCTACCATAGATACTGGATTGGCCTGTTGCAGTAGCTCTAGCGCTAATGGAGCAACTAGTATAGGTGGGTGGACGTGTAGTGTTTTCTGATGGATTTAGTGTGCAGTTAGTGGAAGGATGCATAGGTAGTGGAACAGTAATGTGAGGGGGAATAATTCGTAAGATTGACATGATATGCTCTTGGGGTGTAGCCTTGGACTTAGAAAAAGGAAAATTGGTGAGGAAGATAGGTAACTAGTGGTCTTACTTTAAAGGAGTATTTCTAGAAATTTAGGTAATATTTGGGTAACCAGTGGATGGTAGGAATAAATGAGAGCTGCTAGCCCATGTTTGCTTATATTCCCCCTAGTACTTAATGTTTTTATCACAAGATAAATTTTTCCTTGATTAAAGAGGTGATCTAATAACTGATGTTCATTTACTTGCTTGGTAACAGAAAAAAATTAACAATTATCTGTCAATTGAGTAAATGGTTTAGCAGTATTCTTTTTACTTATATATTTTGTTTTGTTTTTGGTGTCTCTTTTTCTTGGCCTCATGTTTCTTTTTGTAAAATGTGGGTTATTCTCAAAACCCTTTTCTTTTACAAAGTAGTAGCATAAATGCCTATCTAGTATCTTAGTATCCATGGAAGAAAAGCATGGTTTTAAGTTAACCAGGCTCGAAAATGTTTAGAATTTTATTTTTCTATTTTAAAACTAATTTATTAAAGAAAATTTTAAACATATACAAAAGTAGACATACTGTAATGAATCCCACGAACCCACACCCAACATTAACAGTTTATCAAGTCATAGCACTGTGTCATTGACACGCCCACACATTCCCCCCTCCCACATTATTTTGAGCAAATCCCAGACCCATATACTTTCATCTGTAAGGATTTAATTAAGTAATAAGTATTTTGAATAAAGACATAGCAAGTTAAAAGTATGTGTTTAATGTATTGGTAGGCTTGAGATGTCCATGTAATTTAGTGATGGGCTAATAAACAAGTAGAAATAAAACAAAAGTTGATAATTGTAACTTTAGTTAATATCTTTTCCTTTTACAGAATAAAGCAATTGTTCAGTCTGTATCTGATATTAGGTTATAGGTCTTGGGACACCAAAAAAAAATAAAATGTTTCTGTTAAGGAGCTTGAGGAACTTTTATTTTTTTCTCATCTAATAATTCTTATGGAAGAATGTTGATTTAGTTTTTTAAAAAAGCTGTTATTTATCTTGTATTTCCTTTTGCCTTTTTCCCTAATTAAAAAATAAAAATTATAAACAACTATAAAGAAGTAGAATTATCTATAATACTGCATTCAGAATAACTTCTAACATTTTGACTATATGCACGTATTTAGAGTGTGGGGTAAAAATAGGTTTACAGTCATTTAAATGGAAAGTAATATAATAATAAATAATAATACAGGAATAAACTGTTATGTTTCACATACTCAGAACTGTAAGCCTACTTTTGACCCACCCTGCATTTCCCCATCTTCTGTTTGTTAGCCCTTAGTGAGTATAGGTAAAATGGAAACAAGTTATGTTTTTTCCTTTTACAGAAACTGTGGATGGTAGGGAAGAAAAGCCTGCTGCTTCTGATTCTTCTGGAAAACAGTCTACTCAGGTTATGGCAGCAAGTATGTCAGCTTTTGATCCTTTAAAAAACCAAGATGAAATCAATAAAAATGTCATGTCAGCGTTTGGCTTAACAGATGATCAGGTTTTAGGTAAGTTAGTTTCTTCCTCCCATCCCTCACTTGGTTTCTCTTTCCTTCCCTCCCTTTCCTTCTCTAAAAGAAGGATAATTTGGGTATAGTAAGGTGCACAGATCTTACAATTGAATACATTTTACATATGTATGCTCATATATAAAACGCCATCTAGACCAAGATGTAGATGATTTCTAGCAGTCTGGAAAGCCTTCTTATGCCCTCTCCCAATTAGTACAATGTTCCTCTTCATAGAGTAACCATTATTTGGTTTAGGTAAGTTTTATTGAAAATAGAAATCAGATGTCTTATTTTAATAAAATCTGAACCATTTGATAATATTATGTCATAATTTATAAATTTATAACTTAAATCTGAAACAAACAGGAGGATTTAAATTTGTTTCAGGATTTAAATTATATTTGATGCCTTAGTTTCTCTTCTGATCTGAAGTCAGAAAAATTTAAATTTAAATGTAGATTTCTGGTTAAATTGCTTTAGCGTAGAAAGTGCTGTTACATGAATTTAAAAAAATATATACATTGATTATGCTATTACAGTTGTCCCAATTTTCCCCCCTTTGCCATCCTCCACTCAGTACCCCCATTCCCTCCAGTAACCCCCTACCCCCTTTAGTTCTTGTATGTGGGTTGTGCATATAAGTTCTTTGGCTTCACATTTCCTATACTATTCTTAACCTCCTCGTCTGTTTTGTACCTACCAATTATGCTTCTTATTCCCTGTACCTTTTCCCCCATTCTCTCCCTTCCCCCTCAAAGCTGATAACCCTCCACGTGATCTCCATATCTATTCCTGTTCTGGTTGTTTGCTTGGTTTGTTTTTGTAGATTCAGTTGTTATTTGTGAATTTATTGCCATTTTAATATTCACAGTTTTGATCTTTGTTATCTTTCTTTTTCAAGGGTTTTATTTATTTATTTATTTTTAGAAAGAGAGGGAAAGAAACATCAGTGTGTGGTTGCTTCTTGTGTGCCCCCAGCTGGGGATATGGCCTGCAACCTGGGCATATACCTTGACTGGGAATCAAACTGGTGACTTCTACTTCGCACGCAGTCCAGTGCTCAATCCACTGAGCCATGCCATTCAGGGCTGATCTTTTTCTTAAGTCTCTTTAACATTGCATATAATAAGGTCTTGGTGATGGTGAACTCCTTTAGCATTACTTTGGGAAGCACTTTATCTTCCCTTCCATTCTAAATAATAGCTTTGCTGGCTACAGTAATCTAGATTGTAAGCTTTTCATCATTTTGAATACTTCTTGCCAGCCCCTTCTACCCTGTAAGGATTCTTTTGAGAAGTCAGCTGATAGTCTTATGGGAACTCCCCTGTAGATAACTAACTGCTGCCTGGCTTCTGAGGGTTTGCCCAGGAGGAACCTGTCTCCCAGCACTGGCCCTGTTTCCAGTCACTTCACTTTCTCTCCATATGCCACTTGTGCCATTCAAGCTGTTGCCGAATTCCACATGGGGTGGGTCTGTGTAAGTCTGTGCAGGCTCTTTAAGAGGAGTATCCTGATAATCCGGTAGTTTCTTTCACCGCCCCAACATCCCCCTCCCCACCCCCTGCCCAGTTTTTACAGCCAGAAGTTATGGGGATTTATCTTCCTGGTGCTAGAACCCTGTGTTGCTGTGTGGTCTGGTTTGGGGCTGGGATCCCTTGCTCCTGAGGTATCCCTTGCTCCTGAGGTATCCCTCTTGATTTTAATCCACCACATGGGAATGTGGGACCGCCCATTCTGCTGCTTCTCTGCACCTCTCCACCTCTCCCCATGTCTCTGCCCTTCCTACCCATCTGTATGAATGTGGCTTCTTAAATCCTTGCTTGTCGTACTTCCATACAACTTAATTTTCTGACAGTTCTGGGTAATATTTGTTTTATAGTCCAGTTGTAATTTTTTCTGTAGTTGGGCAAGGAGGTGAAGTGTCTTTACCTATGCCTCCATCTTGACTAGAAATCTTACTATATATGAATATTTTAAATCTTAACAACAATACCTATACTGTGACTCCTTTCTATTTTTTGTCATCATCATTTCTTCAGCATTTTTATTTTGCTTTTTTTCTCTTTTGGGGTTCCACATAGATTGGAGAGCTTAATATTGTCCCGTAGGTTTCTGAGGTTCATTTTTTTTCTCTCTTCTTCAGATTGGATGATTTCTTTTGAACTCTCTTCAAATTCACCAAATTTTTTTTTTGCCATTTCCAATCTGCTGTTGGAACACCTTCCAAAGGTGTTCCAACCTTTCTAGGGAATTTTGTTCTGCTTTTAGCTTTAGAATTTCCATTTGGTGTGTGTGTTTCTCTCTTTCTCCATATATATATGTATATTTATATATATTTATGTATATATAAATGTATGTGTGTGTATTTTTTCTGTTGGGATTCCTTACCTTTACATTCATTAAGATTATTTCCTTTTAATTCCATTAGAGAAAATTGAATATTTTTTCTCTTTAAAAACTATAATAGCTTCTCTGAATTATATGTCTGCTATATCTAACATCTGGGCTAATTTGGAGTCCCATTTCTTTTGCCTGCCTTTTTTCCCCCTGAGTGTGAGCACATTTAAAAAGGTTTCTTTTTTTGCATGCCTGATAGTTTTTTATTGAGAACTGGACATTATGGTTATTAATATGTTGTAGCGACTTGAGATTTTTTTGTTCTTTTGAGGATGTTTTTGTTAGTATTACTCTAGCAGGGAGTTAACTTGTATGGACTAAAGCTACTCATTCTGTCTTCCCACGGAGTATAGTAGCAGACATCTCTGCTCAGTTCTTTCAGCTGTAGGTGCTGCTGTATTTTTCTGAGCTGTCTTGGGTGTCTCTCTCTCCTCCCCCCTCCTTACTCTGGTCAACTGGGGATTTGGGAGTGAGCTTATATTCAGATTTTAGGTCTCATTCCTTTAGTGGGTCTCTTACTTCAAGGATTTTTCCTTTAAATTTCTAGATGCTTGACCAGACATGAAGTTAACACTGTAGCTTTCTGTTGTTGGAGCTACAGAGGTCAGGACTTAGAGTTCTTACCCATTGTGATTCCATTGGTGGTAAACTCTTTTTTGATTTATGTTGACATTTGGTTGACTTCTAGTGATTTTTAAATAGTTGTTTTCTTCTATTTTGTTTAGGTTTTTAGTTGTTAACCTATGAGAGTGTTTACCTGACCAGTTGACTTTGCCTTTATCAGTAACTAGAAATATAGAATTCAGTCTGTTAATTTTCCTTTTCTTTGATACTTTTATGAGATTATTCACTAAAGAGAATTGTGTGAAATTCCGAAGACATATTTGTATATGATGTATATTTTTGGCAAAAGAAGACATCAGACAAGTGGCTGAAAAACACATTTTCTAAAGCAACTAAAATGAGTTACTATTACAGCTTTTTAATATTGAGGACTTTGAGAAATGCCAGCCAAAAGAGTAAATAGTTTATATATATGAGATTAGCCTTAAAAATTTTTATTAGAATATAGTGTATGCCAGACTAGAATATTGTGATTAACACAGTTCACATTATTTGAAGACCATTTTTCTGGTAACTTTGTGTGTTGAAGTAGAAAAAACTGTACACATTGAAAAATACCAACTACTTTGTAGTTGTTCAGGTATGATGGTGTGAGAAATGCGACTATGATAGTGTGGACATGGGAAGGAGAGTTGAAGCATTTCAAAGAAAGGATAGATTAGTTTCAAAGAAACTAATAGATTACTACAGGGAGAAAAGAGGAATAGAAATAATACATATTTTAAGGATCATAACAGTGTCTTTTGTAGGAGGGATGTGTATATGAGTTTATCTACATGTATACAAATGTCCATGAAATGGTGGCATACAGGAGCAGTTAGTTAGTTCTTCAGTTTCTCTTGCATTACCACTGCTAGTTTAGTCCTAGTTTATCCTAGTTTAGTCTCATCAAACCTGGACTGTCAGCTGCCAGCTGTGTACCTACACCACTGCCAAGTTCTGGGATATACCAGTGCAAGGGGTAGATGTTTGCCCTCAATGAAATTAGTCTGCTATTATTTATGTGGAAGTTTATAAGTGGTAATCACTTTCATAACTTCTTGCTAAATAATCACTTTCATAAGCACTAGCTAACTTATTTCTTACAGGAACCTTATGAAGTAGAAATTAATTTTTTTTTGTACAGATGAGGAAACTGTGGCATAGAAAGAGATTAAGTAACATGCCCAGAGTTACACAGCTACTAAGTGGCAGTACTGAGATTCAATCCCAGGCAGTCAGGCTCCAAAACCTATGCTTTTCACCACTCTTCTATATTGTCCAAAAAGAACTTAAAGGAGTAAACATATTGAGAGTTGTCTTCCTGACGTCTTTTTTAACTGTCATAGTATTGGAACTTCAGTGAATTCTCTTCATTTCCTGCTTTGGTTATGATTTTGGAAGAATTTGAGTGGCTCCATGGTTAAGAGAGCTAGGCCTTGTGAGGCAGATGAATTCCAAAGGAACTTGTCCAAAGAGCCTGTAGCCTAAGAGGGAAGATGGGATCTGCTCAAAAATACAAGGTAGAAGTTGGTAAGGGTCATAATAAAAGTATACTATAGAGAAGTTCACACGTGGAAAAAAGTGAACTGGGTGAAGAAGGCTTACTAGAACTGTGGAATTATAGCTGAGTTTTAAAGAGTGTTGTGTATAGATCCATGAAAATGAGACAGTGGAAGGAACAGTGATAATTGCAGTGGAGGCAGAAAAAATACTAGATGTATTTTGGGAATAGGGATTAGTGTGAGAAGAGGAGTTGTAAGAAATAGTGTATATTCTTGAATACCACGCTAGAGGGTTGAACTTCATTTATGGACAGTGCAGACCCATTAAAGAATGAAATGATACTTTGATCGACAAACTAGACTGCATAAAGTGGAGGCTATTGGTATTGCAGAGATGAGTTTTGGATTTTGAAGGAGGTGGTTACTATTCTATATTTTATAGGGAGGGATTTCCTGTTGTAACTTTGGATTCTTAAGAGACTAGAGCAAAGAAGAAAATGAAATGTACATTTAGTGTAAAATGCTGCATGTTTTAATGCTTATGCTGTATTAGTTTTACTTTTAGTCTCTTTTAACCAATCTTAGGAATTGAGCCTGCTGGGGAATGGTCTTGTATTAGAAACTGAACTGACTTCATTACCCTCCAGGGCCACCCAGTGCTCCTGCAGAAGACCGTTCAGGAACACCTGACAGCATTGCTTCCTCCTCCTCTGCAGCTCACCCCCCAGGAGTTCAGCCACAACAGCTACCATATACAGGAGCTCAGACACAAGCAGGTCAGAGTGAAGGTAAAATAGAGTTTAGAGCACATGTGCAGAAATGTTTATTGCAGCATCGTTGGTAATGGTAAACACTTACATATGCAACCCTTTATAAAGGTATTTGTGCAGTTAACAATGTCTTTTGAAAATTTTTTTATTTATTGAAATTTTTTTGAGAGAGTGAAGGGTGGGTTGTAGGGGTGCGACAGAGAGAGAAACATTGGTTGGTTGCCTGCCGTACATGCTCCCACCAGGGATTGAATCAGCAACCTGGGTGTGTGCCCTGACCCATAATTTAACCCACATCCCTGTGGCGTGTGGGACCATGTTCCAACCAGCTGAACCACCCAGCTACAACAACGTCTGTTGAGTAAAGAAGCAGTGTATTTTAAAATCAAACTATTTTTTGTTAACTGAGATGAACAATTTAATCTCAGTGGGTTTTGGTATTTTCTCACTGTAAATTCTGAAAATTGGAGTAAACTGATGGTTTTAAAAGAATGTCTAGTCCTGAATGAAATTTAACTTGTAAACTCAGTATTATTGTACAATGTTATGATAAAAAGGGGTCATTGCCATATATTTTTGGCAATTTTCAACCTTTTTCATCTCAGTGCATACAGAAGCTAATTCTGAAATTCTGTGGCATACCACAAAATATACTTCTTTATATAAGTATTTCTGGTACCATGAATTAACCAATCAGATGTAATCTTATTATGTGACTCTATTATATGACCTATATATTTATGGTTCAAGACGGGGCATTCACACTGGCCCACTATTGCTATGTTGGCTGTCGTCATTTTTTTATTTGAGAATCTAAGGGAAAGAGGTCAGTGCCCCTGACTAAATAGTCAGGTATCACATGTTTTAAAATTTCTTGTGGCACACATGTTGAAAATTCCCATTATATGTGAAGGGAATCAAGGAGCCATCAGCTCGGCATAGGCACTGAGGCGCCTCATTGAAACTGTTGGAACTCTGTAGAACATGGCCAAGTATAGTAATTTCCCTTGTCCACAGTTATGCTTTCCACAGTTTGAGTTACCTGCGGTCAGCTGTGGTCTGAAAATATTAAATTGAAAATTCCAAAAATAAACAATTCATAATTTTTAAATTGCTCACTGTTCTGGTAGCATGATGAAATCTCGAGTCCTGTCTAGGATATGAGTCCTTCTTTTGTCCATTGTACCCACACTACATATGTTCCCTGCATGTTAGTCACTTGGTAGCCATCTTCGTTATTCCTGCTGTTGTGGCATCACAGTGCTTATGTTCAAGTAACCCTTATTTGACGTTATGATAGCCCCAAAGTCATTCCTGTATCTTCTGTTATATTGTTATAATAGTATATTGTTATAATTGTTCTATTTTATCATTATTTATTTGTATTAATCTCTTGTGCCTAATTTACAGACTATGTCATGGGTATATATAGAAAGAAACATAAGATATATAAGATAGATATATACGTGATATATATATATCTGTAAAATGGTTGGCTACTGTGTGGTTTCAGGTATCCACTGGGTGTCTTGGAATGTATTTCCCGTAGACAAGTGGGAGGGAACTACCTTAGTTACTAATATCTAGGGTTCCTCCCAGATATTAAAATGTTGTTTCTGTGAATTGCCTGTACATGAAAGTACATTTAAAACTACACATTCCACTTGAAAACAAACACTAGGTGGTGCTCTAACTATTTGTATAAAGGGGCCATGTGGTTGTACAATGTTATTTTCAGCAACAGAAGCAAGTGACTGAGTTTAAAAAAAAAAAAAGTCCTAGCCTCAGATGAACCGAGCACTTTTGTAGGAGACTCCTAATCATACTGTGGTGATACGTTTAGAGTTTTCCCACTGGATGGATGCTATTTGTAGGGACTAATAGGTGGTATTTTGCTGATGAATGAATGGCCTGAGAATTTCTTACTGCTTAAGCCTCTTCTCAACCAACCAGCTTTACTCACAGTGTTCCCTTTGTGCCAGGGTATAGCTGCCACAACTGTAACAAACTAGACTGAAGCATAGGTGGGCTGAAACAGGGAAGCAAAAGCAGATTTTGGATATGATGGAATTTAATGGCTGTACTGAGTGAACTAACGCGTGTTTTGTTTTTGTTGTTTTGTTCTTTTAAACCCCATTTTAAGCTGTATACTATTGTAGAATGGCAGTTGGAAGGATAATTGCATCAAATAATGTTTTTATTCACTTATACAGGAATGGGATTTAATGTTATACAAACAGCATCTCAAATTATTCTATCAAGTTTGCTTTCACTGAAACTTTATTTTCAGATAGGTAAAATTTTAAAAATATAAAAGGAGATAGAGTGATAATTCAGAAACTCTCTCACTGCTGACCTCTTAGCATGTACAACCCATGTTAATATTACAACTAAAAAAGTTAAATGTTTCTCTTTTTCCTTTTTAAAAAATTTTTACTGTATTTTCCCATATTATATATTCCCCTTGTACTTCCCTGCCCCCAGCAATCACCACACTGTTGTCCATGCCCATGAGTCCTTTTTCCTTTTTACTCAGTCCGTCCACAACTTACCCCCATATCTCCTTAGTTATCATTCAGCTCTGTATCCATGAATCTCTCTTATTTTGCCTGTTAGTTCAGTTTGTTCATTAGATTCCACATACAGTGAAATCATATGGTATCTGTCTTTCTCTGACTGGCTTACTTCACTTAGCATGATGTTCTCCAGGTCCATCCATGCTGGAGAAGATCCATGACTTAAATGCCAGAAAGTTAAATGTTTCTTAATGTCAACACATAACTATAGCTGACCTTTGAACAACATGGGTCCAATCAATTTCCTTTTCCAAAGGCATCAAATTAACACTGATTGATAGGCACTGAATTCTTTTAGGGTGGCATTTATGCTTTGCTAAAGCCAATACTTTTTAAAAATGTGCAATATAAAAAATTGTATGTTATTAATATATGACAGCCACTAGGTGAGCATTCAGGAGATGAATGTCTAGATTAGTGCTATCCAGAAGAAATACAGTGAAAGTCATATAAAATTTAAAATTTTTTGTAAGCTGCATTAAAAAAAGTTTTTTAAAAGGTAAAATTAATTTTAATCATACATTGTTTTAAATCCAGTGTATCAGTATGTAAGCATTACTTAAAAGTTAACATTTCCATTCTTTTTTATTCATACTGCCTACTGGAAATCTGGCATGTGATTTGAAACACTTAACACAAAAATCACATCACAGTTAAGAGTAGCCATATTTTAGGTGCATGGTAGTCATATGTGGCCAGTTCCTATTGTGTTAGATAGCTTGCTCAACTCTAGATTAATATCAGTTATTTATAGATTCCCAAGGTGTTACAGGCTACTTTAATGAGTGATTATAGGCTACTTTTTGATGTATGATGTGTAATGAATGAGTCCCTGACATCACCATTTTATTAGATTTACTGCTGGTTATAATTTGTGCAGAATAATCAACATAAAAATCTATTACTAATAATGGATAAACATAGCAGTTTCTTAGAATAGAATATGAAATAATAATTCTGAGTTGTTACTTAAATTCCATAAAAGGGATGTTGGAATTGTAGTTTTCTTTCCCAAGGATGTTACTCTTAATATGTTGTTCACTAAAAAGATCAACAAAATGTTGAACATTATGAAAAGAAACACAATGGACAATGTTATCTTTTTTCAGGTAGATTGGGTGCCTCTGTTACTGGAAAACTGTGTACAGTTGAGTAGTTGTCCAGAAACATGTCCATTCACTCCAGCTTCCACCGGAGTGAATGGTCAAGAGAGTAAGGTAGAAGATGGCTGTCTTTTATGTCCTGTCCTCAAAAATGCCATTGTCATTTCTGCGATATTGGTGCACAGGTCAGCCCCATTGAGTATGAGAGGAGACTGTGCAAGGCAATGAATACTTGAGTGTTTTTTGCTTATTTTTTGCTCATTTGTGTATTGTGGAGTTAATCTTTCTAATAAGAATGTAAAGGAGATCAACCCATTGCCATATGTTGTTACATGTGCTGAAGTCATTGGGGGTCATTGTGGAGGTTGGCTCTCACTGTGTGTGACAAAGTACAGCCCCAGAAGTCTCTTCAGAATTTTGCTTTATGCTATTCTCTTTCTTCCCTTAGATAACATGGTTTTTATTATTTTTATTTATTCTATCATTGATTCTTTCTGAAAATATAATACATAAAACATAGCTTATGTATTTTTTGCTCAAAACATAGCTTACTGTAAACTATGTCTGCACCTTGCTTTTTCACTTTATATATCCTATAGCTGTCTCCTTAGAAATAGGTGAAATCATTCCTCCTTTTAACAACTAAACACAGACTTCTTAGTTACATTTCAGAATACTGTGAGGAGAGTCCATTTTGGATTTGAATGAAGTGTGTTTAAAATAATTAAAAGGAATACTTGCAGATGTAGGAATAAACCTTTCTCGAAACTTTTAACCCCACGGTTGGCATTTTCATAATGGGTTTATAGCAGATTAGGAAGAAAATAGTGTGTGTTTGCTTTAGGAATAGTTGTACCCTTTCAGTTAAAAATTTTTTTGAAAAATATCTTATTTTTAGAGAAAGGGGAAGGGAGGGAGAAAGAGAAGGAGAGAAGCATTGATGTGAGAGAGAACCATCCATTGGTCCTCTCTCATACACTCCCAGACCAGGGACAGAACCTGCAACCCAGGCATGTTCCCTGACTGGGAATCTGACTGGTGACCTTTCTCTTTGTGGGATGATGCTCAACCAACTGAGCCACACCAGTCAGGGCCCTTTCAGTTTTTATTGAGAAAAACAATTATGCTGTTTTGAGTAGGAATTCCTTGAAACTATTGATGGCAATAGTCTACAACACAGATCCTTAATTTTAGCCTTTTTGATGATATGTAAGTTAATATTTATATTAAATGCCACAATGTGTACAAAACACTTTTTTAAACTAAAGCTCTATGCCTGGGTTCCAATGATAGTTCTTAATTAGCTGTGATATATTGACACTTACGTAAATTGCTTAATCTTTCTATATTTGAAATAGGGATTGCTGATGAGGTTAGTTTTCTGTTCATGTATTGCCTGTGACTCTGCTCATTTTTGTATTGTGGAGTTAATTGTTCTAATTTCTAAGAATTAGAACCCATATTTTTCCCCCTTGATTATATTTCTGTTCCAGATTCTGGTCACTTCTGTTCTAAAATTTAGTTACGAAATAGAATCCGGGATTAATGTGGTGTCTTTATGGTAGTTAACTCATGTAGTACCTTTTGTGCTATCTCTAAGTCTTAAACTATTAAGAAAGCATTTAAGAAACTTTTGCCAGTTTTTTTGTTGTATTTGGGAAGAGAATTAATAGCTTAAAAATAGTTGAGCAAATTTTATTTCTGTCATAAAAAGCATGCAACTGCTTGCTAGGAAATAAACTGACTATAAATACAGGCACGTACCAGTTAGTGCTGTGGTGCATGGGGTTGAGCAGCCAATTCAGCAGAGTGCGCTTAACACCTTGAAAAACCAGCCTGTGAGTGTTAGCAGAGTGTAGTGCTGCGCTTTCATTTGAGTGGCGCTAAATAATGCATTGACTTTTTCAGTAGTTCTCTCTTTTGTCAAAAGGATGCTATTTACCCATAATCTTTTGATTGACAGCAGGTAGTTTGAATATTTTTGAAAGAATTAGTGTATAATTTAAAAAATTTAAATACTAGCCAGATATTAAAGTGCAAGTTTTATTGCTACTGTAAGCATTGGATCTAGTTAAATCTACCATTAGAACAACTGTAAAGTATTAAAGATGGTAAAGACATGAAGTGAGAAATCCTTAATTGTTTGGAAATCACAGGTAATAATAGTGTCTGAGGATTTCTCTATAGGAACTGTGATCTGGTGACCCTAAATAGTATTCTTTTCTAAGTACACATCCCCAGTGTTAAACAGGTCCACCATTACTAAAAAGTTCAGTGAGGAACTATTTAGGTTTTATCAGATTCCACATGATTGCTAGTATCTTCAGATGATGGAAAAGCAAGCTGTTGTCAAATGTCAAAGGTGTGTTTGAGGTCTGGAATGAAAGATACTATATAATTCGTTGCTACCAGAGTGCATTTGTATGTGACAGGAAAAAAGGTTCAAACCTTTAGATGACAAACAGTGTTTGGGGAGAAAGACTTGAGACCGATTATTTTTATTCATTGATTTTTGACTTATTTGAGTTTTACCGAACATTAGCAGTACACATCTTTTGGCAGTCGAATTTGAAAACTCTTGTTAAATTGTTCATTCTTTTCTACTTCATTGACATTAAAAAGGGAAATAAACATTATTCCATCTTTGTTACGCAGTATGTTTCATGAGTTTGGAGGGCAGAGAATTAATTGTGCTGTAAAAGTATTTTGTTAAACCTGCCTCTTTTTCTTTTTTAGGTTCGGTGTACCAACAGTACCCTCAGCAGGCTGGGTATGGTGCCCAGCAGCCGCAGGCACCACCTCAGCCACCACAGCAGTACGGTATTCAGTATGCAGGTGAGCAGGTGTCTACAGGGAGCCGGTGCGTGGTTTGGAGCTGTTGCTATACTCATTTTAACCTTTAGTCCTGTCCTCTTAATTCCATGATTTGTAATAGCAGGTAGTAAGTATTTATTGATTTGGGAAATAACATAGGTTTTATTTATTTAAAAAAATATTTTACAGTAAATCAGTGCTTCAGTTTTCCAGTGAGCAAATAAAACTTACAATCATAGTAGATTCTATAATAACCCGTATAAAAAATGTTTAATACAAAGCCATCTCCTACTGATGTGATCAGCTTGCCTTTTAAGGGGACTTAGAATTGCAGAAATGCAAAATTTTTTCCCTCTGTTATATGTAACTCATTCCCAGAATCCTCTTAGTGCTTATAAAAATAGTAATAGTTCCCTCATACGTGGAAAGGTAATCTTGATAAAGGCAAAAGCATGGGTCGAGGTAGGTTTGTAGTTGTTTGTATGGAAAAAGGCATATAGGTTGTTATGATTATTTCAGTAGCTTTATTAACTGTGTTTCTTGTAATAGTTAAACCTACTTTTTACCCACCTCTGCAAATCAAGAACCAAATTAATCTACATAGGTTTTTAAAACTCCCAAAGTATGTAGGAATACCAAAAACAGCTCCCTCCTGCCTCATAAAAAGAAAAGAATTGTGTAAAACCTAATTCAGGCAATTAAGAACATTAATTAATATAGTTATTAATATAGGCATCTTGGATATTTTGTTTTATCATCTGATCATTGAATATTATCCACACTTAAATATAAGTCTGTTTTAGCTTTGAACATAGTGATTATAATCAGGTAATTTTTACATTTGCTAGAGTTTGTGTTCAGCTCTTGTTTTACAGTAAGATGTGTGTCAAATTTCAACTTTAATTAGTTTATCTGAATCTTGCCTAAATTCTATTTTATAGAGTTTTCTAGTATAAAGTAGAGCAGGAGTCATCCAGCTGTAACCCACAGGTCAAATCTGGCTTATTGCCTGTTACTGTGAATAAAATTTTATTGGAACACATCTGTACCCATTCATTTTTGTACCATCTATTGGTGCTTTGGCACTACAATGGCCTACAATGTACAATGGAATGTAAATATGCAATGGAGTTGAGTAGTTTCAACAGAGACTGTATGGCCCACAAAATCTAGAATATTTACCATCTAGCCCTTTACAGAAAAAAAGGGTTTCTGTCCCTGAACTAAAGTGTAAAGTTCTTCATTAATTGTAGTTTGACATCTTTTAACCCACACAGCAATTTTTATTTGGATTGTATTTGCTGTAGAATGATTTAACCTGTAGCTGCTAATGTTTAAGTATATGAAAAGGTGGAATGAATTTAAACTTGGATTATGATATTAGAGGGAAGGTTATTTTTAGGATGCAGTTCTTAAAGAAACATCTTAGTGTTGCAAATTATGTAATTTGTAGAAAGAATAGATACCAGAGCTGAAGGGACCTCATAATCATCCAACCCAAGTGATTTCAGCCTTCACTGTACCTCAGAAGGGCCTGCACAGCTTTTTTTTTTTTTTTTTTGAAAGTTACAGGTGTCTGGACCCTACTTCCAGAGATTTTGTTTTCTTTAATCTGGGTAGAACTCAGGCCTTGATATTTTAAAAGCATTGCAGATCATTCTAGAGTGCAGCCAAGGTTGGAGACCACTGATTTTTTCCCCATCCACTCATTTTATAAATGAAGCCACTAGGGTTGAAAGAGTTTGTGATGTGTTCAAGGACATGCAGCCTTTCAGTGGGGTTGCTAGGTCACCCACTACACTTGACATCCAGTTAATTGCTTCCCTATATCATTCTGCATTCTCAAACTTGGACCCGGGTTTGGCAGACTTTTCTGCCAAAAAAGGCTCGATAGTAAATACTTATAGCCATTGTGGACCATGTGACCCCTTGTCCTATAGTATTTATGTATTCAAAAAACCCACAGAATTTTCATTTCTTGGCAATTTCTGGTGTTCTTCAATTTACTCATTTTTTAAGCAAGGGGTATTGGTTTGAGGGAGATTAGACATATAACGTAGAAACGTTGTCACACTGTGGTCAGAGACTCACATTAGATTGCTTATAAAATAGCATCTCAGGCCCTTAGAAGTTAGTCTCTCTCTTAATAAATAATTAAAGATCAGGTTGTTTCTAGACTCAGTTAAAAAGCCAGTTTAGATTTCAGTTGCCAGGATCAAAAGGCAGTCATTTTTTTTTCTTCTCACTGTCTTAAGTTGAATAGACATTTCCAGTATAAAAGCTGAGTCCTTCTCTTTCTCCAGAATCTTATATTAAAAAATTTAAGTTAAACATTTTATGTAGAAGATAGGAAAAATTGTATGACATTCAAGATTTGATCATGAATTGACTTTAGTTCAGTATTTGGATACTATCATTAGTAAAATACATTAGACATTTGATTTAGTTATTGAAAATTAAGCTTGTTCTTAATGACTTTAGTCAGGATCTCAACTCTGAGTTAAAATTTAGTGTTTTTTTGAAATTGTCTTTGTATTTCTGATCCCACTAGTCTATTAACTTGAATTTGATTGGGAGATATGGGAATAGTCAACTCAGTGCTCTGCTTGGAGACTCTAAGTGGTGGTGGTAACCTTGGACCATTTTGACAGTGTTGGTTTGCCAGTTTCCCTCTGACCTTTTCCAGTTTTATTCATGGATGTGTCAAAAAGATTTCTTTCATAGTAAATTTTGAGCCCAGGTTCAAGGTGAGTTCAGAATATACTCAAATTCGTTCAATCCTTTTTTTTTAAATGCAGGGTTGTACATATTTTAATAATTTTCTTATGTATCTGGTGTTTAATGCTGACAGGATCCCAGTCAATGGAGAGGTTTCATTGCAAGTAGCTGCAGGTGTGTTTCATGGTAGAGATACAAAAGTTTTTAGTGAAGCAGACTTTTCTTTTACATCCTTAGTAAATAATGAATATAGATGTTGATTTTGTGGGGTAATATGGTATGTTTTTTGTGTGTTATGTTGTTACTGCTAACTCATAAATTTGAGTTGTAAAGGCAAAACAGATACCAAATCAAAAAAAAAGTGAAAGATTTTAAGGGTTGAGAAGATGGGTACTTAATGTTTATTCTTAAATGGCTGTTTTTAAGGAGTGACTAAAGCATCTCAGTAGCACAATTAGATGTGTTTGTAGCACCGTTTTTCATTTTAAAATATTCATTCTCTACAATGTGTTTTTATTTGGTATTGTTATTAAATAGGTCTTCCCTCAAAACCAGGTTAATGACTAGTTTTTGCATTACTTCTGGCCTTTATCAGTTGAGCATCTCCTCTATAGAATTGTGCTGGAACAGGAATTTGCTCTCAGGGATTATATAATCTAGAGGCAGTTGTGATTAAGAAATGTATGTATAGTGGTTTCAATTGAAGATGAGCAGGTTTAAAAATTTTTACTTTTTGATACCACTTGGTCTGGAAATATATGATAGAATTTACTATTCTACTTGTTATGTAAATGCTTAGGATGAAGTTTGTTAAATTTCTCATCATTTTTGATCCATAACAGTAAAGACTAATTCTCTGGAAAATTTTTACCAACAGAAAAATAAGATGTGTACATTATTTTGCCTTTTCAGCAGGCTATACTCAGCAGACTGGATCCCAGCAACCTCAGCAGTTCCAGGGATATGGCCAGCAACCAACTTCCCAGGCACCAGCTTCTTCCTTCTCTGGTCAGCCTCAACAACTGCCTGCACAACCGCCACAGCAGTACCAGGCGAGCAGTTACCCTCCACATACTTACGCTACCCAAACTTCTCAGCCTACTAATTATACTGTGGCCCCTGCTTCACAACCTGGAATGGCTCCAAGCCAACCTGGGTCCTATCAGCCAAGACCAGGTTTTACTCAACCTCCTGGGAGTACCATGACCCCTCCTCCAAGTGGGCCTAACCCTTATGCACGTAATCGTCCGCCCTTTAGTCAGAGCTATACCCAACCTGGACCTGGTTATCGATAAAGAGGCTCAGCTACACTGATGAATGTAGCTGCTAGCTATTTGCCTCCCAAAAGACTCCAATACTACTATTTTAATTTGTATTGAAGTTCAGAAATTTAAGAAGCAGAGCATTTTTTTATGATATCATTGTTGCTGTTAATTGAAAGTATAATTTGCTAGAACACAAAAAAGACCAAAATGAAAGTTTTTTCCTTCCCTGCTTAAAAGTATAGCAGCTTCCTAGTAATTTTGGAACACTACTCTTAATGTGTGTGTAAAGTGATTGATTTTCTAGCTTGCCTTGTCCAGGGGTTATTAAAATGCTAGGTTGAAGTTGGCTTTTTACTATTAACATGATGTACTAAAAGTAGATCTCTTTGAGAAGATAACTAGATATTATGTATAAAATGAAACTGATAGGTTAATAAAAATGATTGAATCCATTTAGTGGTCTTGTAATTTAACTTAATCACTAACATTATATGTACATGAGAAAAAAAGCAAGAAACAAATCTTATTGTTTTGTCAAAATGAAGTGCAGATGGTTCAACCACAGTACTGTTTGATTTTTGTTCTGACTTGAAAGAAATGCATTTAATAGTCATTGGCTAAAACAGTGAACTTTAAAATAGATGTCACAGAGAGATAAATATTATATATATACAATGTGTATATATGTGTGTGTTTGTGTACACACACACACACAACCGGTACAATTTTGGAAGATACAAGTTGGTTTTGGTAGATACTGAATAACTGATTTTTTTTCCATAGAGGTGAACCGTTCAGAAATAAAGAACTCAGCCTTAAAAAAGACAACATTTCTTTATTGCAGAGTTTCTACTTGTTTGAAACTTGTAACAAAATGTAGCACTGGTAAAACTGAAGCATGTTGAACGGAGTAAGTATGGGGTCCTCTCAGAACGAGGGCAGCAGTGCAGCATCCCCACCTCCCTCCCTAAATGAAGAAATACCTTTTTGAATAAAGGTAAATGATTTTCTGTACAGGGGAGTTAGAATATGAAAACATCCTTTGATACAGTCATTCCCAGAAGTCTTATGTGTCAAAATGTAGTAAATATCCCATAAAATGGTAAGCAATCTCATCACGTGTTATCTTTCTGACACATTCAGTTTCTGCTTACAGCTTATTTAGAATTCTATTAAAAACAATATGAAGACAGTTGCTTGAAGGCTTAGTTTGACAGAGTATATTCAAACACTAATAATTATGAGTAGAGTAGAAAAAATGTATTGTTGAAATATATCATTCTCGATATTGTTTTTAGCTCATGAAATTTACTAATTCAGCTGCAACCTTTTAAATAATTTGCATATATTTAAGGAATTGTATATTCACATCAATGTTTATTTAAATGCTTCAGAAAAGTTATTCAACTGTTGCTGAAAAATTGAAGTTTAAATAAATGTGTGAATATTGGGTCTTTTTCCCCTTAGGGCTGTACTGAAGATAATTTGATCTAATAAGTTAAACCAGGTAGAGATTCATGGAATTAGTTCACCAATAGGAAGAATATGCATTAGTAACAGTAAATATTTTTTTAAATGTATATTAGTTTTTGATGTTAATTTTGTTATAAAAGTATTTCAAAACATTACAACAGTGTGATAAATAATATACAAATAATCTCTTAAAATACCATGAATAGGGAGCCAGCTTCCCCCCAAAATGTTAATACCTTGTCTTCTAAAAACGACTTTGTAAAACTTGATAAATATTCTCAGCAATCTTCCTATAAACATCTGATATTGCTATCAATTAGATTTTAAACTTTTATACATAGTAAACAGAACAGCTTTAAATGAATGTGACAAATACCGTAGTGTTTGCAGTTGTATTTTGCCATGATGACACAGAAGGCACTTGTGACCGTGATCATAGCATCTACCATTTCCCAGGAATTGTGGTCCCACATTCGTACCACTGGACATAATTGATTCGGGTGTGACCACCAATTTCTCCAAATTGGACAGGTTCCTGGCGAACTGCTCTGAAATAGCCTAAGAGGGAAAATTATTATTGTTATATCTTGTCCTCATTGTTCATAGACCAAATGGCTGAAGGTGAAGTATTTTAGGAAATGTGTAGCAGCAGGAGCCCTGGTATCTTTCCTGATGTAGTAATGGGAGGCTAAACATCAGGGGCACCTGAAACTTCTCAAGTTAGAACAGGACAGTTGGTAGTGTTTGGGAAACAAAGCTGGGAAGGAGCAGAGGTAAGGGCTTTTGTGTTTTGAGTGTCATTGGCCACATTCAGTATTCTCTGTCTCATGGGAAAGTTCACTTTGTGCACTAATATTGCTGACTCATGTTGGTCTGTGAAGCCTGACCTGAGTAAAGCTGCTGTTTACTATAATGTTAAGAAACGAAAGAAGGGTAGTTCTAAACTTGCGTGAAATCTTCAAGGAGCCTAAACGAAATGATTAAAAATTTCTCTGTAAAATATTATAGACATATACATGATTTAGAGTGTTTTATATCCAATTCCTATGAGACAGCAGTTTCAACTTCCTGTGTATGGGTTTATTAGTCTTGTTAAGGCATCTTTTACTGTGGTGGGTATTTTTAAGTGCCAGTGAACAGAACGTGTTTCTGAAAAGACTAATCAAATAATTTAAAGTATTTAATGATCCTTTTGGTGATTCCTGAATAATATGGACATTTAATTTAACCTCCCCTGCCTGGATAAGAATTAAATTAATTTTAATCTTCATTAAGCTGCTTAGTGCTAATGTGTCTTCAGCATTACAGTGGTTATTCATTTCTTAACAGACTTGTTCTATTTTAATTGAATTTATATAATTAAGGCAAATAATACCATTTTTCTGTTTTTGGTAATCTATAAAATTATTTTAAGGGAATAAAAAAATGCCACATGAGTGATTTCAGTTTAGAAAACACTTTTTAAAATTGAAGTAGAACGCATTCATATATGTCTGTGTGTAACTTTCCTTGGCCCTAAGGAAAAGAGCTTTAAGGTCTAGGAGGAAAGTTTTAAAAACTTTCATTAGAAAGTCTTCATACCAAGGGCTGGTGAAGGTTTTTCTTTCTAGTCAGATAATTATAACAGTACTATAGAATTACTTTTAAAGTGATTGCTTTCCTCAGCTTGAATTCTTTTGGGGTTAATTTGTAAAACTCTCTTACTTGTGAGGAGGCTTAGAAAACATACCTTCTTTTCTGGGTAACTGGTCAGAAGACAGTTGCTGTCCTGTGCGCCCATCTAAAAACGAGTCCACAAATTGGCAGTGATCTTCTCCATGGCCTCTCTGATCACCTATGTTATAAAATTGTCCTAAAGAACCAAAATTTAAAAGGATCAAAAAATGTTACTTTGACATAGGGTAATTTTGAAACAATCATAATTTCAAATAATCTTTCCTGTTTTGGGACTTACCCCCACTTTCACCCTACTTCAAGCCCTACTCCCAGCTGATATCCCTGTTTTCAGTTTTGCCTCTCTCTTCTACTCTCCTCCCATCTCCTGCATCTGTTAAAGGTGCTGCTCAGGCCCTGACTGGTGTGGCTTAGTGGGTTAGGTATCTGCCTGAAAACCGAAAGGTCATCAGTGTGATTCCCAGTCAGGGCACATGCCTGGGTTGCAGGCTGGGTACCTGGATAGGATGTGCTAGAGGCAAGGGATCAGTGTTTCCCTCCCTCTCTCTCTCTCCGTTACCCTCCTTCTAAAAGAAAAATAAAATCTTTTTAAAAAATGCCACGCAGATAATGTTACCCCCCTCCACAAATCTTTCCAGCAGCCTCCTGCTGCACTCAGTAAAGCCCAAAGTCTTACCTGGCTTCAAAGCTCCACATGATTTCACACCTTCCTGCCTTGTTTCCTCTTACTAATAAGCCTCAGCCACACTAGTGGAACTGGTTAGGCATGTTCTTCCACAGGCCTTTGCATTTCTCTTCCCTCTGCCTTTAGCTTTATCTCTAGATCTTGCTTGGTTGGTTGGTGCCATCTCATACTTTTATTCTTAGCACAAGTCATACCTTTTCCTAACCCCTCTAACTAAAGGAGCTTCCATTCAGCTGTTTTCTCCCACCCTTTTTTTTTTCAAAGTACTATGTGAAATTCTTTTTTATATAGGTGTCTGTCTCTTCCACCTAGATTGTAAGCTGTAAGGAAGCTTGTTTGCGTCTTGTTTGCTGCTTTGCCCCCAGCATCTAGAGCAGTGTCTGCATAAAGCAGGTACTGTTTGTTGAATAGTTGAACAGATGTCTGCCTTTTTATGTTGGGGTCAGATTTGTTTAATATTTTTATTGTATGAGTATAGAAGAGAAAAATAATAGCCCACTGAGTCTAGAGCAAGGGATTATAACCTTTCCAGGCAGGGGTTGTAATCTTGACCTTGTCTCCAGCAGACTTAAAATTTTAATTGTCATTTTCCTTCCATGATTACTGTTCAATACAACCATTTTATTATCAGTAGGGGTTTTATCTTCGGTTGGCTGTGATGAAATTGGGCTTAAATGTGGCTCGTGTCTTCACAGTCAAGTTTGCCATGATGGCCCTGTTCAAATTGCATTTTCATTATTTCCCTAATAGCATGTCTCAAATCCTTGTTTTCTAGGCTAAGTATTTCAATAACATCTTGCCCAAAAGAAAATCTGTATTTACATCATACTTAGTTTCTGTCCAAAGAAAAGGCCAAGTTATAGAATGCTGCAAAGCATTTGTTCCCTGAAGGACGGTACTCAAAACAGCTGGCAGCCTTGCTTACCTGTGAGGGAATCGCTCAGGTAAATCTTGTATCTGAGAGAGTTGCACAACTGCACCCCTACAAACTTCTTATACCACGTCCTTTTGACATATTGTTTGCCCTTACATTCTGAGTAAGAGTCTGAATTAAAGGGCCTTTCTGTCCAGATGGCATCTCTTCCTCCTGCATAAGAAAAATATATGGCTTGAGTTTAGTATCTGTCTTTGAGTATTGAAGAGCTGTCCTAAAAGCTTATAAAACAACAAAAAAAGTTTGCAGGGTTCACTGCCAACTTCTGATACCAATGCTAAATATTGGAGCCAAAAATATTATAGGAGTTTAAAAATACATACCCCCCCCCCCCCATTACATTCCTCTCAATAGTGATCTAATTCTTAGAGGAGTATTTTTAGTATTGAGTAGCATTTGCAGTGCTAGGTGTAGACAGCATCCTGAGGAAATTTAGCTTTTGTTTTGCAGTATATACAGTTTAAACGGCTTCGTTAATGTGGCATGTTATTAAAAGTAGAAATGAGGCTATCATATCTTGACAGTTATTAAATAGAAAATTTGATGCGTGAATGAAAGCAAGTTTCAAAATATCCAGATTGTTCCCAAAACATCATAGGCTGTCAGTGAAACAATGCTTTGCATAAGCATTCACACCTGATAGTCTAGTAAGATGAAATGGACCAAAGTGAAATTATGACTAAAATTCTGCCACATCTGTGTAGTTGAATCAGTTTAGAAAAGCATGTAGTTGTGTTCACGTTGACACAGGTACATACCAGAAACCGGCTCGCTCACTCTTGGATCCGCTGAGAAGAAATAGAGAGTCAGATGTTACTGGATAAGTAGGTCTCAATGTTCCAGTGGCATGATGAAGAGGGTGGGTTGTTAAGAAATTTTACTTGCAAAGTGGTACAACTTTTCAGAAAGGGAATTTAAAAGTGTTTTTTGTTTTGGAAATTGTTCTCGATTGGAAAATCTGCCAGATACTCAGCTGTATCTGTTACTTGTGATTTGAGTAGTTGGACATCTTGACAGCTGTTCTGGCTTTCACTTCCATTTTAAAAACTTCCTCTTTTAGTTTCATACAGAAAGCTACTGATGATAAAATCACCAACATGCCATGAACTGCAGTTGTAAAAATTATACAAATGATGCTGTGAGCACAGATGTATCTTGTTAGGGGACTGCAGCTTAGAAGGTTAAAAAGAGTTCACAGCTGCTTATCATGGAAAAATATCAAATGAATTCCCTTTCCACATGTAGTATGGTTCAGCATATCTTAAATTTTGATGTTGGCATAAAGAGGAGCATTCATTCACTAGATTTTTTAGTGTAGATTGATTAAACACTTCTTTTAAACTGATACCCTTTTTTTTTTCTGACATCAAAATAAATGAGGAAACACCTAAGTGGTCTTTCCTTGTGGGCACCTTCATCAATTGGCTTTTCCCCATAGATAATATTTTGAATTCAAGAACTACATACAGACAGTGTTTGGCGGGGTTTCAAACAAGTTCCTTAGTGTAAAATAGTGTGGCCCTTTATGTCCGTGTTGGACACGGACATCAACTGTTGTGGATGTGATTACCTGATTCAGTACTGAATGCCACTGTGTTGCTGGCCGGGCCTTCTCCAAGTGGGTTTTTAGGTTTCACCTGGAATTCATAGCTGTGTAGGTAGGAAATTAAAATTGTAATATATTCTTCAGGAGTAGGAAACAACATTCCCTCACTATACTAATATTCCTCCTGAGTCTGTTCTGAAAGCGTGGTGACAATGAATGCACATATATTCTAGAAGCATAAGGAATGAAAAAACTATTGATTCTTATTTTCTGAACAGCTTGAATTACGTTTTGTACAAGAACAGGGTTAATAAAAAAGATGTCTTTAAAAACATTTTCAAATTAATAGAAATAACTGAGCAAGTTGGTAATAGATAATACAGCAAAGAGGGATGATGGATCTGGGCTAATTCTGGTAACGAGGAGCCTCAGTTTTCTTCAGATGTTTCAGCCACTTCTGGTGGGAAGAAGGAGAAAGATTCCTTTTTATGTCTTTTTTTATCACAGCCCTCGGAGCCTTTGACTTAGGCACTGTTCCTCCTTGTGGGGTTTGCACTACCTACGTCAGAGTTGCACACCAAAGCAGCAGTCGGGAAAGTGTGTTTTAAATGCCGATTTCTTGCTCCATCCTATCTACTGAATGGTTTGAGGGCATCCGGGTAGGAATTTATAACAAGTTCCTGAGGCGAATCCTGCCTCCACTGACATTTGAAAACTATTAGACTAAAGCGATGGGAGCAGATGTACTTGAAAATATTTTTTTGCAAGGACTTTCTGGTTGTATCCCTGGGAACTCCGGGCTTCTGTGGATCACAGGAAGCCACAGCATCTCCAGAGAAGGGGGTGGTAGTGTCACCTCCTGAAGAACATGGGCACAAAGACACTTTTCTTACCTCTACAAACCAGGATTGATACGGGTCAGGCTCTTAGCATTAAAAAACAAAACAAAACAAACTCAGATCTCTTGGAGTTATGTTTGCTTCTATCTTTAAGAATTGTTCATTAAATTGCTGTGCAGTATCTGATGAATTTCACTCACAGAGTACTTAAGCAGAGCAAGTCCTTTTAAGAGAAGAGTTATTATTTTCCAGTTGCCTAAAACTGAGTTCCTGTCAGTAGTACACTTAGCAGGTAAGTAAGTATTTTGGATGTAAATTTAACTTGAGTCAGCTGATAGTATGTGAGTCTCAGGTTTGTACAAGGCTTTTTGGGAGATAATGCCAATTTTTGAGAAGTTGGTGATTGAAGAAAATGTAGAACATGCAAGAGATAGGTACTTTGTAAAAAAAAAAAGTGAAAAGCAGAAGGATGACAGCTCTCAGTTTGGTGCAGAGGATACCAAGTGAGCAATAACAGCTCTGAGACTCAAGAACTCAGATTTTTGACACTGAGGCATTGTATTAACACACTGCTGGAATCTAGAATGCAGACTCCCGCATTGCAATGCTGGCAACCACGTTAGGAGTGCTTACTATGTATTAGATTAATCATTCTACATATACAAAGTAATACACAAACCCCACAGGCTAGCTTTATTGTTTTTTTTTTTTCCAGTTAAGAACAATGAATCTCTTAACCACTGTACTGTCTGCTTTGACAAACTGTGAAATGAGGATTAAAGCTGACAGGATTTTTAGTGAGAGACTGCGCATCAAAGCATTTTGTAAACCAACCAATGCATACAAGGTGCCATTATCATTTGCAATAAGAGAATGCCAATATAAAACTACCCATGTCGCTCATTTAAATAAATTGCACATACATAGGGTGTTTTGGCATGGAATATTTTCTAGAGATGAAATTCTTGCTGAGAAGCCTGATGACCTTAAAACAAAAACAAACCAGTATGATGAACTGATAATGGAAAAAAGAAATCACAGGCGTCTGGACTTTGATTCAAGTGGGCAGTGCATTCCACATTCCAGACCATTGCCAAAGGCCTGCACTTTGGCCAAGTCTGGTTGCTGGAATCATGCCTTTATTTTGCAGTTATTTACACTTTAGCTCTATTTGCACTGTAACCACAAATATTCCTAAGGAACTGTTTTTTGCCAACATGTGATACTTGACAAGTTTTGAAGAAATCATTTTAAAGTAAATTAACATGAGAACTAAAAGGCACAGAAATTTGGCTGATTAAACTCTATGTAAAAAGAAGATACTTGAAGTGGCAAAGTTTTTCCCCAAGAGCACTTTCTGTCACAAGATTTATGACACTATAGGTCAGTATTGATTATACACAGGAAACAACCATGGGATGCTATTTAAAAAATTTATAAAGGACAGGGAAGTATTTAAGTATAGAATAAGTAAGACTTTGAAGAAGGTTTGGCAGATCAAGTTAAGGAGCTTGTACAAATACAAGAACAAAACATCAAAAGAGATGAAAGATGAGAAAACAAGGAAAATGGATCCTTTCAGGGACTATGATACCTAAGTAGTAGGTTCTAGAAGAGAGAGGAAGAAAACAAGGAGGGTAGAAAATTATCCTAGAAATTATGTAAATCCTAAGAAATGGGTTTCCAAATGAAAAGGACCTAATATATGCCCAGAGAAATAAAAAAGGAAAAAAAATCATCTAAAACACACACATTGCAAAATTTCAGAATAGAGGAATAAAGATCTTAAAAGTTTCTGAGAAGAAAATAGGTCCTGTTCAAAGGATCCAGAATCAAAATAACATTTGATTTCCTAGCAGCATTGGAGTTAGAGAACAATGGGACAATATCTCCAAAAGTCTTCTTCATTTTATCCTGAATCCCATTAAAGACTCAAAAATATCTTCCACAAGTTTTTCTCAAGATATTTCTCAAGAAACGCCAGAAAGGGAGGGAGTAAACAAAGAAGGGAAACACAATATACGTTAGGCTATTCAACATAGGCAAAAGATGATGGTAAGGAATTCCAGGAGGTGTTGCCATAAAAGAGATAGATGACCTGAGTATTTGACCATTCTAAGAAATGGTCAGTTTAGAAATATGGATTTAATTGGCAAAAGATATAGCTGAAATAATTTTAAATTGCATAGTTGATTAAGATGGTGGCAGAATACTCTCAAGCTCCCTTCCTCCTACAGACGCATCAAATGTATCGCTGCACACGGAGCCATTCCTGATGAAAGGGATCCAGAAGTGAGCCAAGCAGCTCCTCCACGTGGGCGAATGAGAGAACACCCACATCGAAATGCTAGGAAAGGCTGAGACACACTCGACATAACCCCCAGCACAGTGCCATACAATCAGGAGCAAACCCCCAACTACCAGCTTTCCTTGAGGAGCAAAGGGTTTGGACCCCAAATCTAGCATCAGGACTTGGCCCACATTTGTGATACTTTCCCAACTTTTAAAACTCCCTAGCTATGAATGCCTATAGTGATTGTGTCCATGAGACCTTTAAGAATATAGCAAAACAAAGTTATTCACAAGTGTATGAGCACTCAACCCCCTCCTGGCCTTCCAGGGCTTAGAGCAGAAGGAGCAGGCAAGAACTGCACACTTTAAAAGCTACTGGCTGAGGATGAGGGTTCTTATATAGTGACTGGCTGCGATCCTCCCCAGAGACTGGGAAATAGCAGACACCTTTCCTGCCCTCTCTTTGGTTCACTCCAACAACAAAAGCAAGTCGCTGGTGCCTTCCTGGAAGGAGTTTTACAAATGGCTAGCACCTCAGCTTGTGTGGCTGCTTTGTAAGGGATGGGGCCCCAGATAACCTGGCTCTGAGAGGCACCAGTGCTTGCATTTCTGAGTCTTACAGTATTGTATCAAATGAAGTAGTTTTTAGCAGGTGCAGAAGTACCTGCTAAAAACTTTTCCCACAGCTGTATCCTGGGCCCAGCACAGAGGGAGCAGGCAAAAAAATGCCTATCTCCCAGTGTCTCCCTGGAAGAGGTTTAACCATGTAATTGCCCAGCTGCTAACTGAGGGTCCAGTTTATAACTAGCCTGCATCTAGGTGCTGTCTGCCATTCTCGCCTTGGGACACTGGCAGATTTTGACACCCTCAAATACTGGAAGCCATTAAGAACAAGAAGGGTGGTTTGGATAATCTTAGAGGCTTGAGAGACAACTAGAAGTTTGAGCTGGGTTGATCAAAGTGGTTCATTTTCATGATGAATATATTCTATCAAGCAAGAATAGGAAAGGTGGTTGTTCCATGTTTAGAAACCAAAACAAAGGAGAGTTAAAGGAAATGAAGAAACAAGAATATGGTCTAAACAAAAGGCCAAGAAAAATCTCCAGAAACATCTTAATGGAATGAATATAAGTGATTTATGTAATATAGTTATTATGTTCAAAATAACAATCATAAAGATGTTCACCAAGGCCTGGAGAACAATTATGAACAACATAAGAATTTCAATGAAGAGAATACTAAAAAGTGCAAAACAAAACACACAGCTGAAAAACAGTAACAACAAAAAAATTCATTAACGGAATTTAACAGCAGACTAAATCAAGTGGAAGAAAGGATCCACAAATCTGACAGAGCACTGGAACTTATCAAATCAAAGAAGCAAAAAGAAGAAAAATGAAAGAGTGAAGACAGTTTATGGGACATGTAGGATACCATATAGCAGACTGTGATATGCATTATAGGGGTTCCAGCAGGATGAGAGAGAAGGAGGCAAAAAGCTCATTCAAAGAAATAATGGCTGAAAAGTTCCCTAACCTAGGGAAGGACACAAGCATCCAGATTCAGGAAGTACATATACAGATACAGACAATCCAAATACAGATAATCTAAAGAGATTCACACTGAGACAACATTATAATTAAAATGTTAAAAGCTCCAGACAAGGAGTAAATCTTAAAAGCAGCAAGAGAAATAACAACTTGTATGTACAAGGGAACTCTCAAGACTATCAGCAGAACTTTCAGCAGATTATTTTGGGACAGAAGGGAGTGGAATTATATGTTCAAAGTTAAAATCAAATCAAAACAATCCCAGCAAATTTGTCTTTCAGAGTTGAAGGAGAGAGAAAGAATTTCTGAAACAAAAGCTGAAAGAGTTCATCACCAGGCTTAGAAGAAATAGAGTTCTCAATTAATGACAGAAAACATAAAACTCATTGGATTAAAGTAAATACATAGTAAAATTCAGTATAG